GTGTGTGTGTGTGTGTGTGTGTGTGTGTGTGTGTGTGTGTGTGTGTGCGCATGTGCTGAAACTTACTCCATTTTCACTTGGTTTGTGACTCATCAACCATGAATAAAGCTAGTCATGCCAAAGTCAGGGAATAACGGCCATAAGCCACATCTTCAGACCTAATTCAACAGTCCTCTCTATTCTATTTCTGGCATTCACCACTTCTGGTTTCATGTTGTCATCTTCATTTTGAGTGGCTATCTTGCACAGGTATGGCCTCCACTAAACCTAAACAAGTTGAGGACAGCATCAATGTCTGTCTGTATCTTTAACATGTCCAGAGTTTCTGGAGCCATAGTCAACAAATTACAGCAGGGAAGGGAAGACTCCTGGGGTGCTTGATCATCTTCTCCCATCTAACTTCACAACACAGCTAGAAGAATGGAATAGTTTATTCTCATTGTACCAATGAAGTTCAGAGAAATTCAGTTCCTTGCCCAAGGCCACACTAATAAATTCGGCCAACCTGGGAAGTAGGAGCAGTACTTTGGGGCTTAAAATTAAGCCAAGTTTTCCCACTGGGAATAAATCTTAATCCAGTGGCTATGTAAATCAATTTGTCAGTCAAAAATAAAACAAATAAGCACTGAATGAGGTAAAACACAACAGTGAATAAAACGGGTTCCTTCTCCAGGAGCTTATCTCATATGTGAGCAAACCCCCTGAATGATGGTAGTAAGATTACTGTGCTGGGTGCTGGGGTATAGATGTAAAACAGACACACTTCTCTCTGAGATCACCAAGCATGCGAAAAAGACAGACATTATGAGTTGCTATGGTTAGGCTGTACTAAGTAATAAAAGCGGGATTCTGAAGTTCTTGGTGGCCATACAGGGAATGACAAAATGATATCACAGCCTTCCCAAATGCTCTCTCTCTCTCTTCCCCATCTCTTTTTTCAAAAAGGGAAAAGGGTTTTGCTAAGCCCATGGGATCCCAAGACAGGCTGCATAATCCTGCTCACCTCCTTCCAGATTTCCGAGCTATAGCTCTTCTGTGTTCCCATCCCCTTCCCATGTGTAATGTGTTGACTGAGTTGTAACAAAAGTGATGAGATACTAGATTGGAGGTGTAGGAGAGTTAAATTTTCTCCAGGCCTAGAATGAGGCAATGTATTCATCCATCCATCTATCCATTGGCCAACCAGCCATCCATCATCATCATCATCATCATCATCATCATCATCATCATCATCATCATCGAGACATTCCTTGAGCTACCATGACTACATTAAACCAGACCTGTACTGGGTACTGGTGACACATAGAAGAAGATGACAAGGCTGCTTGTCAGGGACAGGGACAGGAGGTCCCTGTCCAGTGAGGGAGATGGACATGCACACAGGTGAATTCACTACAGTGTGTGTATGTGCTGTCTTCTCTTTCTGTTATTTCCCTTCTACAGGAAAGAAAAAGCCCCTCCTTGCAAGCACCCACCCCTGCGGGGCTCAGCCAGCAAAGTCCCCAATGGCAAAGGGGACAAGAAGAACTCACTGAACCACAAAGACCCTTCAACTCCCTCTTAAAGACTTGGCTCCAGGAGGCATCGTGGGTGCAGGAACATGCATTTCCTGCTGGGGCATGAAATTAAGTGCCCTTTCCCGGTTTCCAAGACAGGAGTTTTCAGGATAATGCATAAGCTAGTGAAAGGGAGTTGGAAAAAGAGAGAAATTTTTTCATTGATTTTTCTCTTTTACCAATGGGAAATCAATTGTGAGCCTTCAACTCAAGGCTGAGTAGAATGCAAGAGTGGAACCAGGTCAGCGCAGGCTTTATCTTCCATAGCACAGAGGAAAACCTCCACACCCCTCTCAAGAGGCTCCACACTGTGTGGGGTCAGTTCCCAGTAAACCTCTCTTCACCTTTTAAAGTCCTATAGTCATGGCCCTGGTGCCTTCACTTAACACAGCTGCAGCTGTTTCTGGTTTTAGGAATGCAGTCTTCATACTTCCTGATCCAAAGCGACAACACACATGCAAGCCAGAGGCAAACGTGCTGTTGGGAACCATGGGGCGGAATGTTTGAAATCAGAGTGATCTAACAAATATGGTCACCGTGTCTATAAGCCACCTGCTCGCTCACTCCCTCAAGCCCCAGCATGCAACTTCAGAAAGATGTTCTGAGAGCCGTTTTTCAATTTCCTGGCTACTTTAATTGAAATTCTAGCTCCCCAAACAAAAAGCCTTGCTCATTCATTCCAAAGAACTACCGTGGTTAAGGTCGTCAATCCCTGGTGACAAGGAAAGAGGGAGGTGAGCGCCGATAATCTGCAATGAGAACAAGGTGACTACCAGGTAAGGGGGCTACAAGAGACAAAAGAACGAACCCCAGGCAGGTAGGAGTGGTAAAAGAAAATAACAGCAGAAGCAATTCCCAAGGGGAAGCAAGCCAAATAGTGTGCATTTTCCTGAAGCTTAAAGTGCCTTTGTGTGATGAATGGGACCAGGGGAGTCTACTCCCTTCCTGTCTGTGGAAGCAGCAGGCTGAGTCACCATGACAGCCTGCTAATTAAAATGACCTCCCGGAAATGAGGATTAGGAGATAGGGAGACCAAGGGAGGCTCCAGGGAGACAGTGCCATCGGTGTACAGCTCCAATAAAACGTTTTTTGCATTTGTGATGCAGATTTTCAAAGTTTATTGCAAAAATCAAGAGCAAAGCTTGTTTTCTCTTTTACACATTGGTTTTCAAAAATGGTAACAACAACAACAACAAAAAAAAAAAACCACATATGTTAGTTTGCTACGAATGCTCTATGGTGTATATAGCAACCTTCCTGGGCTTCCATTGCCCAAATAAAGTGGTTTGTGCAGCACCTCTATTCCCCTGAGTGTTCTCTTTGAGTTTCCTACTCCTTGAAGGACAATAAACCAACCCCAAATTAGAGTTAATCTCTTGAGGTCAGGGGCTCTGTCAAGATGCAGAAGTATGGTGAGATTTGAACTCACTGCAGCTCCTGTGTCAGCATGGTGAAGAGCTTAAGATTCATCGGGCTCAACATCCATCGTGGGGCAGCTTTGGAAACTATAGTGTCATTTTAGATTGCATGGACAAAGTTGGGTGGCATAAAATGAGATTGGAGCTTAGATCCACTTTCTTCCATCTCCGTGTGTTGTGACCATGTATGGGCACTGTATTTTTAAGAGTCTGTCAACTAATTAGAACTCAGGTTAAAACTTGGAGACAAAACAAAACAAAACAAACAAACAAACAAACAAAAAAACTTGGAGACAGGCAATTCAGGTTCTAATTCTGAATTCAAACCCTGGCTTTCTGTCTTAACATTTGTATAATACAGAACAGTCATTTTACCTGCATGAATCTCTGGTTTCTCACTTGTCATGTGGGAATAGTAATACCCATCTCACTCCAATAGTTATGAAGATTCGACGAACCTAGGTATGAGAAACATCAGCCAGAACGTCCACGTGCTCATTAAGTGATAGCTATGAACACTTGAAATGTGACCAATAAGGGAGGTGTGTAGAAATCACTTCTCTATGAAATGGACAAAGGGAGAGGAGTTTTTTTTAAAAAAGTGAGGGGTGGAGGTGAGGAAGCAGGGGTACAGTCTTTCCAGTCTTTAAGGGACATCATGGGACAAAAGAGGTAGATGTATGCTGTGTTGCCCAGGGTTAATCCAAGGAATACTATTTAGTAAGGACAAACTTCTGCTTAGGCTGAGGAAAGCTTCCTATGGAAGAGAGCAGCCAACTAAGAGTTCCCTTGGAAGGCAGTGAGCCCTCCATTATCAGAGGAATCCAATCAAAGTCTGAAGGGTCGCCTCCCTCAGGGAGATGCTGGGTTAGAGGCTGGGTGCTCTGCAGAAGCATCCCGCCACTGTAAATCTGGAAAGAAATGACGTGAGGAAGAAGGTTACGCTTCTGTCGGCTGATGGAGTTCACAGCAAGATGTCCTTAAACACAGACACAGGAACATAAAGCATCTGCGAATGATAGCATATTGACCATGCTGATGTCTAGCATTCCTTAGAGGGGAAAAAAATGCACTTATAAGGTAGACCATAGGCTTGCAATGGTGTGCTTCTCCATGTTGACTAAACCCATGAAGACTGCTCAGAGGTTGTCAGTAGCCCTTGCGGAGGTCTTGGCAAGCTCAGTTCCTCTGTAGTGCTCCTGGATAAAGTCATACCTATGACATCAAGCTGGTGAAGAAAGGCTTTCACTGTGGAGGGGGAAGATAGCACCAAGCAGACATGTGAACCAGAGAAAGGCTATTGGTCCACCCATCATAAGGCCATATACCCTATCTTCTCAAATAATCTGGTCTACTTCTTTCTCAGACTAGAATCTCACATGGGTGGACCTGACCACATCCTGTGCATTTCTGACAAGGAGAGTGAGATAACTATACAAAAGAGAAAGGTGGGGAGGAACATGCTAGTCTCTGGCTGATTCTTACCCACCGGTCATCCTGGGGCAATGGGAGTCTGCTCTTCATTTCAAAGGCTCTGAAACACAATTGCTGAGCACTTGCTCTCTGAAGTTGCAGCCAGCCAATTGCAAACTACCAGCTCCTGGGATGCTGAGGCCCACCACAGAGAAGACAGATCAGCTGCCCTGAAGATACTGGTTCGTCAGAGAGGAGATCCCTTTACCTAGGAATACTCCCTGTCCTTCCCAACAGACACAGCAGACAGGGCACACAGCAAGCTTGTGTCTCATCACCGTGCCTCAGTGACATACCAGACGCCTCCCCTGAAGAATCATAGCTCATTGTTCTAACCAGAAAGAGCAGAACCAAGCAGGGAAGTGGGAGCTTAACATTTTTTAGGCACCGGGTTATACACTTAACCAACGCTTGGTGAACACATACGGGTGTTGTGCCAGAGGCCTCTGAATCCACTGCCTTATTGATTTTCTCTGAAGACTGATGAGGTAAGTTCGCTTGCCTCGTTTCTCAGGTGAGCACTCTGAAAATGCTGAGGGCAAACTCATTTCTCTATGTTCACGTGGATGTATGGACCCAGATCCCCACCATCCATAGTGAACCTTCTCCACTTATCTCCAGGTAAAATCTGGTTCCAACATAACAAAGGTTAAAGCAGAGCAGCACCAACCATAAAACGTGTAAGTTGCCAGGCATAGAGGAACATGCTGTGGAGGGCCTTCTTCCCACCTCTCCCTCCGCCTTGCCCCTGTGAAATCCTGAACTCCAGGGTCCTTCCATGCCAGGGTCTGAGCATGGGGACCATTTAAGATGCATCAAACAGAAGTTCCCACCTCTCTCGGGACCCTTGGACACTCAGCAATGTGGTTTTACAGGGATTTTTCCAGAAGCCTCTGGGGGAGCTATTCCAGCAGGTTCCTTATCAGTCTAACCTTCTGGAGAGTAGGAATTGAGCCTGCTGTGTCACATCCTGCCTCCTGAGCACTGTAAGGACATCAGCATCTGATGTCCTTGCCTGGGAGGCTCAGCCCAACCAATAAGGCTGAAGGATCAGGGAGAATAGAGGAGTCATAGCTTAAAGGAAGCAGCCTGAATTAAATCAGTCTAAGGGTGAAGCCCTGCTCATCTCTGCTCACTGTGTGGCTTTGGGCAAGGGATTTGGCTTCTTTCAGTTTCTGGATCATTATCATCTGCAAAATAGGAGTGATTAATACCTATTTCCCACAATTATGTTGAGGATTAAATGTGAGAATGTCTATACAGTATATGACGTGGTATAAAGTGCCTTCCCTAAATCCTCCCACCCCCAGTTGTGCCTCTGTCCTGATTGCTAGAGTTAAGAAATCCTTTTCTTCCAGCCAAAGAGCAGACAGAAGTGTGGACACCTCCTGAAGAAAGAACAGGCATAAGAGAGGCATCCAGGGGAAATGACAGGTGTACTGTGGGATTAGAGTAAGGACAAATGTCTCACCTGTGTTATGTCCATCCCATGGCCTGGGTACCTACTTCAGGTCCTATAGAGTCTAGCTCACTGCGTGGAATGAACTATGATGGAGTACTATCGGCAAGAGGCCCTGAACTCGTAAAGATGATAGAAGAGGCATTGTAAAATGGGGTACAGAATTGACAAGACTTAAAAGAAAGAAGCCACACTCCACAACACCCCATGTTTTATCAAAATGGAGACAAATAGGTCTTACCAGGACACTCACTACCAGGCCCTTCCTGAGCTATCTTGAGATGGTAAACAGTGTTTCAGGGATGCTATGAAGCAGACTCACAGGCTTGGCCAGCTAATAGCCACGACTTTCTTCACTAGTCTCACCAAACTCAGAATGAGTGGTGGTCGGGGTGATCTCCCCCTCTGCAGGTGAAAAGGCTCAGGGCAATGGGAATAGGTTCCTTGCTCATGGTCTTTAGCCCTTAAGGAAGGACCTGGACACACACTGCCCTCTGTCACACTTCATGGCCTTCCAGTTCAACCGAGATCCTCAGTGCAAAGCCTAATGATTCAGAAAGTCAGTCTTGCTCCTAGCTGCTTAAAATTCAGTTGTCCTCAAAGATCTGAGATCTATTTTTGGCTGTCCCCATGTCAATCAGATCTGCGGTTTACCCTGGTTTCACCTGTGAGGGTTAATGTCCTCAGTTTCTACCTTGTCCTCCAGGCTGCAAAGCCTGCTTGCTGTCTGAGCTCATTCTCTCCTTCCACACAGATGTGCAGTTTCCAAGGCCCATCATTTCTGCCTCTTGATGTGTCTGCCCTTAAACAGTGTTGTGGACTGGCATTGGAACCAGACAGGCCTGAGTTTTATTCTCCAACACTTGTTCATTTGTTTGTAAAGCATTTAAAGCCATTTACCTTCCCAACTCTAAAATGGGACAGCTAAGACCCAGGAGGACTGTCGTTCATTTCCCTTCCCCCAGCTTTTCTGTGTCCTCCATGCTCTCCCGCTTATCCGTTCCCACCACCATCCTTAAATGGATTGCTGGAATGCTTCCTGCCTCTGGATGCCTTCCTGCTAACCTACTCTCTTACTGGAAGCTTCCAGAACCACTATAAAACATGAGTTCATATGTAGGATACCTTTTCCTGAACAGTTTTCTAGTCCAGTTCAACTTCTGTCTGTCATATTCTGCTCAATTGCCAGAGCCTCCTGGTTCTGCCTGTTCACTCTCTCCCCTCCCGACCCACCAGCTTTACTCCTCTTAACTAAAGAACATTATGTGTACATACGTGCATGTAACAATAAGTAATGAAAAAAGAGCAAGGAAGGGCAAGGGAGACATTATATAATTATAATCTCAAAAATAAATAAAAATGAATAAAATATTTTAAAATGAAGATTTTCACTATTTAAGACTTAGGTAATGCTTGGCATGATGTCATTGGTCTATGCCTGTAATCCCAGCAACTGGAAAGGCTTAGGCAGGGGGATCATGAGTTCCAAGCCATCCTGGGCTACATAACAAGACCTTGTTTTCAAACAAACAAATTCAACCTGCATATCCAAACTCCATGTCATCCTCCAAATCTTTGCTTTTAAATGTATCCATTTTTTCACTCAGGCAATGACCACCTCCTCTTCGATCATTTAGTTAAAAGCAGAGGATTTTTTTTTTTTCTCATCGGCGTAACTCTGGAGCACCTGAAAAGAGTTCTCTAGAAATGGAAGGTATCAGCAAATGCAACAAAATCAAAGAAAGAATAAAATGCCCTCAAGTCTCAGACTCCATCATGACCTCCTCCTGTCACTGGATCCCAAATATGGATTCATTTTCCCAAAGCAATGGCCTCCACTGACACACTGTTCTGCTCAGGCTCCTGCCAAGGCTCCTGGCTACAGAATTAAGTTCTTACGAAAGCAAAGAGCACAGCGTTTGGTAAAGAGCTTTCGGACTTG